TGTGTGTGTGTGTGTGTGTGTGTGTTTTTTTCTACTGAAATGGGATGAGGACGACGTCTGTGAAGTGTCTGTCTCCGTTGAACATCCGCTCCGCTCCTCGCTATGTATAACCGATTGGTGTAGGGTGATCTGCAGAATATACTTGATGCTCAAGTCAGAATCTGTGTAGGTCTATAGTAATTCAATGATGAATCAAATTAATCATCTATTTATAGAGTTTATAAGAATCTGACAAATTAATTTACTTCTTAATCATCATTAATGCAAACCTTAACCACTCAATAATAGTCGTTGCAACATTAATTGGATATTAACTCTGCTTAATTGTTGTCTTGACCGAATGACTACGAAGTCATGGTTCGTAATGCGGTCGTCCGACCCATTTGCCTTAGCACCCAGTATGACTGGTCGGGTCTAACCCTATAGCAACAATGTACTATCATCTTCATCAATACATGTATTGTCATTTTTTCTTGTACTATTATCGCGAGTGAAAATCACAACTACCAAAATATAAGGACAAGTTAACATACAATAATCAAAACATCATAACCAACATACACATCAATTATAATATAACAACCAAAGTAAACCTTACATAGTCATGTGTCTCCCAACGTCATACAATTACTCCTATTGTTTCACATCACCACAAAAAAATGTTATTTGTGCAAATAGGACAACCACAAGTGAACTCAACATCAGAAGCCGATTTGTAACTCTCATACGCAACTTACCAATTTAGGTGTCATCTCCCATTACTCTCCTCGGAAACTCCAACAAAATATACATATATCATTTCCTATTACTCTCATTGAGAGCTAAAATGAAGTATACATGTGTCACTTCTCATTAGTCTCATCGAAAGCCCTAATGAAATACATGTTCGATACAACTATAATATTACCTTTCACATAAGCAGACATTTAGGTTTCCAAATACATTTACATTTTTAAACAAACATATATTAACATGTTATCATAATCATACTAAATAATATATTCCCCACAATTTAGACTCATAAAATACACATCACATACAAAAGAAAAAATAAGAATATAAGTTTCCTATCTTACATTCTTCACTTTTCCTTAATTTGACGTGTTTTCTATTAAAACCTCCCCTACACTTTTTCTTCCATGTATTTATAAACCTAAATTTAAAAGAAAAATATAACATTTTATTATCACTTATTATTATCTAATAATATTATATAACAATATATAAAAGCTCATAACAACTAACCATGTATAACCATATCTAAAGATATATTTTAATTTATAACAAATATTAACTTATATATAATAATATCTAATAATATTTTTTTTATTAAATAATTTTTCACTAAATCTTTATTTAAAAAAAGTTAAAATAAAATTAATCATTTGAATTATAATTAATAAATCATTTTATTTCTTACTTAACTTATTTATCATATCTATATATTTTTTTAATTATTAAAATTTCTACGATTATTTTAAACCTTCAGAGCAAAAGAAACAAAATGCATTTGAATAATGTGATTAATTTATACATTTCTCATTAAAAAAAGTTACGTGTTTCACGTATATATCTATGTCTATTATAAAACTAGTCACTTGTTACTATGATAGTTAAGAAATTGATTAAAATAAAACTTCCAATTTAGTTGGGAAAGAATAAATGAATAAAACACATAAATAAAATAACGAGTTAAAGATAGAAAGGATATAGGAAAAAGAAAAAAAATGAAACATGCTTAAGTAATTGAGGGGATAATTTTATCCAATAAAAATAGTAAATACATCTTTGTGATTGTTATTTAAAATTTCTTTCTTCTAAAACTTTTTTTTTTTGTGTTTATGCCTTTTAATTAAATAAGTTTAGACACAAATGTTAAAAACCACAATAAGTAATCATTTAATTAAAAATATTTTGTTTTCTTAAAAAAAAAGTTTAAACAATTGAACCAATTATCAATTTTATTTTTTAGTATAATTACAAAAGGTTTATTACTGTTAATAGTGTTTTTAGTATGTTCCTGATTAAACTTTATTCATGTTTTTTTGATCTATCAGTTTAATATTTGACTAAACATTATCACATAAAGAAGATAAATAACTTTTTGACATTATTATTAGCTAAAATAGTTTCTGTAATTATAAATTAACATGAGTAATATATCTATCTTTCAATGCTAAACTAAAACCTAAACATAACTACACTTATTTGACTAATTTTTTTTATTAGACGTTACATGAAATTGAAAAATAGTTTTTCAAAAGAGCAAAATATCGATTAAACAAAATAAAATAAAATGTATGCAATTTGTTCTTGCCGAGGAATACACCCACCAAAAACGAAGTTCCCCTGTTCCCGCGTGTAACAGAGCATAGCAGGAGCAGAGGCAGAAGAGACCACTGAAGAAGCGTACGAACTTGACCCTTTAATGGCGCGGGGGAAGGCGAAGAAGAAGGAAGAAGAAGACACTGAAATCATAAACCCAGAAACGTTGGAGCGCAAGAAGCTCAAATCTTTGGCCTTTGCCAACAACATTCTCTCGGAGACCCCTGCTAGCAGCTCCGTTCTACTCAAACCTTCCTCCGTCGTGGCCAAGCACCACGGCAAAGACATCATCAAGAAGTCTCAGAGGAAGAGCAGCAGGTATCTCTTCTCCTTCCCGGGGCTAATTGCTCCCCTTGCTGGTGGCAAGATCGGTGACCTTAAGGATTTGGGAACCAAAAACCCTGTTCTCTACCTCGATTTCCCCCAGGTGGGTTTTTGATCTGGTATTTCAGCTTTTGAATACAAGTCGGGGTTTTGTGGGGTTGGCTTGGTTTTGAGTTTCAGGAACTGGGTTGAGAAATCTGGAATTTTTTTATTTATTTACTGTAATTTGGGTCTCGTTTAATTTGATAGAATGTCCTTTATTTTAGGAAACACTGAAAACAGGAAAAATAAAAAGTTTAAGCGAGGATCTTTTTTACTATTTACTATATGAGCATTTGAAAACAGAAATAAAGTGAAAGCTGAGTTGTATTTTTGTAATAAAAAGTGAAGATAGAAAATAAACGAAGTGAACATTTTCTCAAACTAAACATGGTTGCAAGTGTAACTCGGCTTGTTTCACCTGTTGCTTTGGTCTTCTCTTGGTCTTGATTGGCTTATTTGGAGAAATGTTAAGGAAGGGGATTTATCATGAACCTGTGAACATCAAGCTTATATGCTTGAGTGACTGTTAGTCATAGTGGATTTGGTGTATGCTAATGGCAGGTCATAAGCAGAAGTTAAGGACAACCTGTGAAGAAAACCTTAGTAAACTTTTAAGGGCTTTGCCAATCATTGTTCTTACTATTAGTGACTGTATCGACTGAAACCATAACATGATAATTCCGGGACTAATAACAGACGAATGTTATCAGTCAGAAAATACTCAACGATCTAAGGAAAAGAAGTAATAAGTAGAGGAGGAAGAAATTAGGAGAAAAATTAGACAGTAGAGGGTATACTTTAGATACAAATTACCTCATCCCCTCATCCCCTCCTTCCCTCTATCATCTCTTAATTCTCACCAAGACTCACCTCATGCATTCTCTTCACTTGGGTTTAGCTTCCTTGACCTACAAGTTCTTACTTGGCCCTAGTTTCTTGCCTCTCATATCTTATTGCATTGCTTCTGACTAACTCAGCTGAACTGAAGTGGCTAGTTGTTGTAGTTCACAAGTCTGGTTCAGCATCATTATAATTGATAACCGGTTGGGTGAAAACCTTGTTTAGAGTGAAGTGTCTTCTTTTATATATCTATCGTTTTTTTCTTTCAAATTTTGGAGCATTTTTAAGATTTCTGATTTGGTAATATGTTTTGTATTGGTAACTGATGATGCATTTTCACTTTCACTTTTCAGGGTCAAATGAAGCTTTTTGGGACCATTGTATATCCAAAGAACAGATACTTGACTCTACAGTTCCCTAAAGGTGGAAAGAGTGTAATGTGTGAGGACTATTTTGATAACATGGTTGGTTTTTTTATCCTCCCTGGTTACTTTTTTTTTTCGGCTTTTTAGACATTGATTATTGTTTAATTACGAGGAAACTTATAAATGCTTAGTCAAAGAAGATGCTTGTGCATACTGGCCTATCATACCCTTTTATTTCATAATTTTATATTGGGTAATTGGGGTTTAGTAAGCATACTTTCTTTCTTGTTACATTCTTGATATCTAAAGGTAGGGGCTCCAAGGAATTCATATTATGGAAGATAGATGAAAAGATGCATTGACTTCTGAGAATATGGGGAAAAGTGCTGTCATGATTCCCATTTCATGCATAACGCAGTCTTAATTCCTGCATTTATGATATTAGAGTTAATGTTCATAGTGGATTCATTTCTCTTTTGATATATACGTGTGTCTATATCTATCACCACAGGTATTCTTCCCTTTTTGTGTCTTCTTTTGACTTCTTGTAGGTATAAGAATAAAAATTTTATGCATTTCCTTTTTCTTCATTTACTAATTAGTATCTTCTGGAATTGCACCTTTTGGGTACGTATGTTCCTCATCAGAAATATCTTGATTTTATTAGATTGTATTTTCGGATGCATGGTGGATTGGGAGGAAAGATGAAAACCCTGAAGAAGCCAAACTTGATTTTCCTAAGGAATTCTATGAGGTTAGGAGCTGTTACAGTATAATAGTTGTCTGATCACAAGAAGCAACTCTTGTTTTCCTTGTTTGGCCTGAAGAGAAAATGGAGTCCATTTTTGTTATCCACTCTGCGAATGGCCTATTTCAGGGGCATCAAGCTGAATATGACTTTAAAGGGGGTGCCGGTGCAGCTTCTGTAGTCAATCAAGGGGTTCCTAGATCCAGGATTCAACATGCAGAACCAGAGTCACCAAAGACACCCTCTGAAAATGAATTGTCTTACAGTGAACTAAAATTAGAAGATACAAAGGAATCGGGTCCATCCCGGCAGTCAACAAGAACTGCAGGAAAATCATACAAGTATTAGCTTCTTTTATATTGGTTTATGCAACGTGTGCCATTCCAGCTACAAAGTTATAAGAATAATTGCTGTATTATGTTAAGCAAAACATTATTTGCCCAAAAATTTAGTCTGTTTTTGTTTGACCATTCTAATATCTGACATGAGTAAAACTTGTAGCAAATCTTGACTGAATATCCTATTCATTTAGTTCTTTTGTTGGACAAGATTTGCTGAGATTTCGGCCAGTGATGATTCTGGTGAAAACAGCCCTGACATTTCTGATCACGAAGAGAAAGTGGAAGAAGTTGATACTGCTGTAAATGATCATAATAGCTCAAATATCCTTATTGAGTCAGGTATACCCTTAAAATTGTGGGTGAAAAATCTTATATGTGTTTTTTCAAGCAATTATATAAACCTCGTCCCTGTATTTTGCATATCATTTCTAAGGCTACACCAAACTATCCCAGATGCTTTAATAGTTGGTTGGTTGTGTTCAACTTTAGTTTTC